GCAGATCCTGATGCTTGGTTTTGCCAGGCATCCAGAGCTGATCATCACCTTGAGGGACCGATTGATGCTAACCAAGTTCACAAGAAACGAATATATAAATCATAATGCCAATTTAATTATTTACAAAGAAAAATACTATTTCCAGAGCATAAAGAAGATTCATGTTGACTAGTCAGCGACCTATCTCCCTCCGGCCGTCTATATGGGTATACAGACAGTAATCAGAAGGTTGCTCTGTAATCCTGGAATCAGAACAAGGGACTTAATATGATGTGCTCTTTAGTATTAGGGATAGAAATATGAGTCACTCATAAACTCTGTCCTCAGGTCACTCAATTTGTAAGAAAATGCAGGTAGTTAAATAGCTATAGAATTTTCTCCGTGTGGAGTAGACAGATTATTTTATTAGGCTCAGAACTTCCACTAAAGAAAACTAAAAAAATCTGGATAAGATGGAACAAAATGCCTTCTTAAGAGCATGGAATAATTAAGAATATGTTACTGAAAATCAGACATTCTGTATCACAACCACTAGTTGGGAGACTATTTCCCTTTATTTTTATAAATTTATTTATTTATTTATTTTTGGGCTGTGTTGGGTCTTCTTTGCTGTGCATGGGCTTTCTCTAGTTGTGCCGAGCAGGGGCTACTCTTTGTGCGGGCTTCTCGTTGCGGTGGCTTCCGTTGTTGAGGAGCACGGGCTCTAGGCGTGCGGGCTTCAGTAGTTGTGACACGTGGGCTCAGTAGTTGTGGCGCACGGGCTTAGTTGTTCTGAGGCGTGTGGGATCTTCCCAGACCAGGGATCAAACCCATGTCCCCTGCATTGGCAGGCGGATTCTTAACCACTGCACCACCAGGGAAGTCCCCCCTGAGTTAATTTTTGAAAAAAGTTTTAGGTCTGTGTCCGGATTCTTTTTTTTTCCCCCCTTTAGCATGTGGATATCCATCCACTTGTTTATCAGCACCATTGCTTGAAAAGACTGTCCTTTTTCCGTTGAATTGCATTTGCTCCTTTGTCAAAGATCAGTTGACTTGTGGTTCAGTTTTGGGGCTGTGTATTCCTCTGATGTATTTTTCTATTCTTTGACAAAAACCCACACTGTCGCGATTATTGTAGCCTTATACATTAGCACCAAAAAAAAGAAAAGAAATATTTAGGTATAAATCTAACAAAATACGTACAAGATCTATGTGAGGAAAACTACAAAACTCTAGTTTAAAAAAATCAAAGAAATCAAAGAAAATCTAAATAAATAGAGATATTTTATTATACATGGATAGGAAGACTCAGTATAAAGATATCAGCTCTTCTCAACTTGATTTATATACTTAGCACAATTCCAAGCAAAATCCCAGCAAGTTATTTTGTGGATATTGACAAACTGGTTGTAAAGTTTATAGGGAAAGGCAAAATACCCAGAACAGCTACATGATATTAAAGGAGATTAAAGTCAGAGAACTGGTTGACAGTACCTGATTTCAAAACTTACTGTAAAATATCATAATCGAGACAGTGTATTATTGACAAAAGGATAAACAAATATATCAGTGGAACACAATAGAGAGCACAGCAGAATGGGTTCCAATCCCAGTTCTGCTACTTACTAGCTATGAAATTTTAGGCAAATCATTTCAGTTTTCCTCATCTATAAAATCATTATGAAGTTTGGGGTTCCATTTGTTTATTTTTGCTTTTATTTCTATTGCCTTGGGAGACTGACCTAAGAAAACGTTGGTATGATTTATAATCAAACTTATAAGGTTTTACACAGCAAAGGAAACCATAAACAAAATGAAAAGGCATCCTATGGACTGGGAGAAAAATATTTACAAGTGATGCGACCGACAAGGGCTTAATTTCCAAAATATACAAACAGCTCCTACAATTCAGTGACAAAAAAACCCACTAAAAAGGGTGGGCAGAAGACCTAAATAGACATTTCTACAAAGAAGGCATAAAGATGGCCAACAGGAACATGAAAAGATGTTCCACATCGCTAATTATTAGAAAAATGAAAATCAAAACTACAGTGAGAGGGCTTCCCTGGTGGCGCAGTGGTTGGGAGTCTGCCTGCCGATGCAGGGGACGCGGGTTCGTGCCCCGGTCCGGGAAGATCCCACATGCCGCAGAGCGGCTGGGCCCGTGAGCCATGGCCGCTGGGCCTGCATGTCCGGAGCCTGTGCTCCGCAACGGGAGAGGCCACAACAGTGAGAGGCCCACGTACGGCAAAAAAAAAAAAAACTACAGTGAGAAAAAAAAAAAAAAACTACAGTGAGGTATCACCTCACACCAGTCAGAATGACCATCATCAAATCTACAAATAATAAATGCTGGAGGGTGTGTGGAGAAAAAGGAACCCTCCTACACTGTTGGTGGGAATGTAAATTGGTGCAGTTACTATGGAAAACAGTATGGAGCTTCCTCAAAAAACTAAAAATAGAGTTGTCATATGATCCAGCAATCCCACTCCTGGGCATATACCCAGACAACACCATAATTCGAAAAGATACATGCACCCCTATGTTCATAGCAGCACTATTTACAATAGCCAAGACATGGAAACAGCCTAAATGTCCATCAACAGATGAATGGATAAAGAAGATGTGGTATATGTACACAATGGAATATTACTCAGCCATTAAAAAGAATGAAATAATGCCATTTGCAACAACATGGATGGACCTAGAGGTTATCATACTAAGCGAAGTAAGTCAGAAAGAGAAAGACATACCATATGATATCACTTATATGTGGAATCTAAAATACAACACAAATGAACATATCTATGAAACAGAAACAAGACTACAGACAGAGAGAACAGATTTGTGGTTGCCAAGGGAGAGGCTGGGTTGGGGAGGGAAGGACTTGGAATTTGGGATTAGCAGATGTAAACTATTATATATCGGATGGATAAACAACAAGGTCCTACTGTATAGCACAGGGAACTATATTCAATATCCTGTGATAAACCACATTGGAAAAGAATATGAAAAAGAATATATATGTATAACTGAGTCACTTTGCTGTACAGCAGAAATTAAACACAACAATGTAAATCAACTATACTTCAATAGTAAAAAAACAAATTATTACAAGGTTTGGTAAGAGCTTGATAAATTTTATCTGTTGTTCATGTTCTGATTTTATCCTGACAGGATTCATAAGAAAGAGGCAGATTAGGTATTATTTCCATTTTATAGATCAGGAAATAGAATTTCAGGGCTATTAATATTTAACAGAGGTCAAGTGGTTAGATAAATGGCAGAGCCAGAACTATGACCTAGTCTAGAATTACTCATTATTACCTATCTCAGTTTAGGATAGCAGGAAAGATTATGCCCTCAGAAAAGATCTTACAAATATATGAAAACAAAATTTAAAAATAAGTGATGCAGGTGGCACTTTAATGTACTTTCATCCACAGTGAAGAAAAGTTGTTAATTATCTTTTTTCCTATTCTCTGGAAGAATTCGTTTAAGATTAGTATTATTTCTTTCCTTAAATGTTTGGTATAATTCTCTAGTGAAGCCATCTGGATCTGGAATTTTTTAGTGTGTGCATGTGTGTGAATATTTTTAATTGTGGATTTAATTTTTTCACATAGTTACAGGACTTTTCAGATATTTTAAATGTAAATTCATTTAGATAATATTTACTAACTGAATTTATTGTTTGAATTTTGTTTAACAAAGCTACAACATTTTGAGCTTCAAAAACTTAATGCTAGATATCACCTAGGGTTTGTTTTTTTCTTAACTGTGATAAAATATATATAACATTAAATTTGCTACCTTAGCAATTTTTAAGTGTACAATTTAGTAGTATTTAAGTACATTCACATTGTTGTGCAACCAATCGCCAGAACTCTTTTCATTTTGCAAAACTGAAACTATACTCATTAAGCAACAATTCCTTTTTCTACCTTCTCCCCCAGCCCCTGGCAATTGCCCTTCTACTTTGTCTCTATGAATATGACTACTCTAGGTATTAATAAGTGGAATCATACAGTGTCTTTTTGTGACTGGCTTATTTCACTTAGCATGACCTCTACAAGGTTCATCTATGTTGTAGCATGTGTCAGAATTTCCTTCCTTTTTAAGGCTGATTGATGTCCCATTATAGGTATATACCAGATTTTCTTTATCCATTCATGCGTCAGTGGACACTTAGGTTGCTTCCACCTTTCGTCTATTGTGAATAGTACTGCTATGAGCATAGGTGTATAATTATCTTTTCAATACCCTGCTTTCAATTCTTTTGGGTTTATACCCAGAAGTAGATCATGGATCTACTAGATCATATGGTAATTCTATTTTTAATGTTTTGAGGAACCACTGTACTGTTTTCCAAAACAGCTGCACCATTTTATATTTTATTTTATTTGAAAATAGAATTTTTCAAATTTTATATGCTTTTGTGTACCAGTAAGCTGTATCTTTCTAGGACTTAGTCTATTTCATCAAGCTTTCAAATTTATTAACAATGTTTGTAATGTCTTCTGTATCTGTAGTGATACTGATACTTTTTTTTCCATTTATATTGGTTACTTAAGCCTTTTTTCTTCTGTTATAAAAGTCACTGGAATTTATCAATTTTAGTTATCTTTTCAAATAATTGAGTTTGTTGTTCCTTTTTATTGTATATTGTTTTTATTTTGTTCATCTGCTCTTACCCTTCTTTAAGTTTACTTTGCTGTTGGTTGCATACATTTTAGATATGATTTGTGCTTTGTTTATGCTCACTTGGGTTTGGGTGCTCCTTTCTACCCCTTCCAAAACAATTTTCCAGAGGTACCCAGTTTTTGTTTCTTTGTATGTTTGTTTTAATGAGGAAAGTAAAGTGGGGTGAAAGAAATTGGTGTTAGAAACCATGTCATCTTTCAGCACTAGGCTTCAAGCATTATCAGCTGTACTTAAAATTCTGACTTACTCTGGTTGACAAGATTATTAAATGCAGCTTGTAAGAGTGTGTCTCTCTTTTTTTCCCCCTTCCCTGGCAGGACCCGTTGGGGCCCAGCCCCTACTCATGGTGCCCAGAAGACCTGGCTATGGCACCATGGGCAAACCCATTAAATTGCTGGCTAACTGTTTTCAAGTTGAAATTCCAAAGATTGATGTCTACCTCTATGAGGTAGATATTAAACCAGACAAGTGTCCTAGGAGAGTGAACAGGTAAGAATTCAGAGATCTTTTGCTTTTGGTATTTGTCTTTGCTTTAGAAATTATAAATTATGTTTATCTTGTGTATCTAAATAGCAATGATGTCTAACAGTTTGACCAAGAACAGATGGTAATTTGCTTTGAAATTGACTATACTTCAGAGGTGTGATGATGGGAAAAATCTACAAACAGCCTTGAAATTTTTCCATTATAACATAAATTCATATGTTTTCTCTGTGATAATAGAAAAGGTGCAAGTCATTTTTATGTGCTCTTGAAATCAGACTGAGCATTTTTTCCTTTGCTATTAGGTAATATTTATCGGTGCTTTCTTTTTTCTCCCCACCCCACCTCGACCTTATTTACCCCTTTCATGATGTTCCCTTTAAGATGATGGTGGTTGTCATGGTTTCATGCCTTCTGTTCTCCTGATCCTCAACTCCTAACTGTTCCCTACTCTTTTATAGGAACAAGTATGTATGATATATAAAGATTTATCAATCTGCTTTCAATAAGCTTCTTTCACTTCCCCCAAATACTATGGATATGGATGTGGTTTAGATAATACAGGAACAGAAAAGGAATTTATGACGTGATGTATACCACAAAGGAGGGTTTTAAAAAGAAAATGATTTATGGACAAAATATTTAGAAAACAATGATGTTCAACTTAGCCTTTTAGTTTGTACTATCAAATACCCCAGCCTTTTCTTACTCAGTAAGTATTATTATTAAGAGCCTTCATTTAAAACGTAGATTTATGGCTGTCAAGAAATTTGTAATTTAGTAGAAGAAGAGATAAGGCACATAAGAAATATGAAGTGAATGAGCACTAAGAGACTTTTTAATAACATATAAAAGAAAACCATCATATGAGTGTTATAATTAACATGTAATAAATAGTTCTTTCTGAGGTCAGGAAGCAAGTTGTGGAGTATTACAAGTGGAGGAATCTTAAAATATCAACTAATCTTTTTTTTTTTTTTTTCCTGATACCTTTTTTGTAGCTGAAATCCAGAAAGGTTGAGAGGCTTACTCAACAACATTTCTAATAGCAAAGGTGAGACCAGCACTCCAGAATCCTGACTTGATAGTCATTAAGAAATATTTCTAAAGCAAGAAGGAAAGGAATTGGGCTAATCTAAACAGTTGGTAGAATTGCAGATCGTGTAATAAAGAGAACACTTTTTTTTTTTTTTTTTAAGATGAGGCAGCAGTAACAAAGGTACAACAATTGAGAACCAGGTTTAGTGAGCCTAAGCCAGGCTTAAAGGGGAGGTTCTGGTCAGGTACTACAGTAAGCTACCATCTGTGAGTACATGACTTCCTAATCTTGCTGTAGCCTCCACCTCTTTCCTGAGCTTCAGACTTGACACCTGAATATCTATAAAGTGCTTCAAACACAGGTCAAAACAATTTATTCTCTCAATCCCCATCCCCACACTCCACTCATACTACTATATTCTTTTCCTCTACCTAAATTCCCAAACTAGACCTTCCTTTTCCTCCTGTTGGTTATCAAGTCCTATTGCTTCTGTTTCAGAAATTATTCCCTGATTTGGCCCCTCTCCATCCATACTGCTACCACCTTGGTTTCAGACCCTTATTTGTTATCTAGACTATTGTAATGATCTTCAAATGGGTCTCCCCTAACATTTCTTTCTCTCCCTGTTCTCGTTAAGTATCCATACTGCTGGCGTAGTTATTCTTTTAAATAAGAAATCTGATTATATCACTCCCCTACTTTAAAATGTATTCAGCTCCCTGTTGCCTACAGAATAATATCCCAAATTTAGTATAGCTTACCTTTCTTAGTTTGGCTCTAACCTTTATCTTTTTTCATATTCTGCAACTCCTACCTGGAATGCCTTCTCTGCCCTTACCTATCTGGTAAACTTCTATTATTTTTCAAGACAAACCTTTTGAACTCCATAGTCAGATAGTAGTTCATTCTTTTTTTCTTTTTTACAAATAATATTTGGCAGTTTATTAACCAGTGGAGTATATTGCACAACAAATTACCTCACATCTTTCAGGAAGAAAAACAACTAAATTTGAAAAGTAAAGACATCACCCACTGAATTCGGACACAGTTAAAATGTGCTTTAAATATTTCTTTGGGAGAAGGGACACAACACTTCTACTCAGTTAAGAGAAACATATGTACAGTCCAGGTCTTTTATTTTCTTTACACCCATCATGCCATGAATTCATAGATAATGGGTTCCAACAGTTCAGGCTCCTTTCCACTGGTTCTCATGAAGTGTGCTTCTCTGGGTGGAGGAGGCTGGTGCTTCAGCTGAACCCAAGTACCTTTCTCTTTGGCTTCCTTCTTTTTCTGATCGTTTTCCTTCACACATTTCAGAAAGCTGTCTTGGCTCTTAGAGTGCTTAATGTGCTTGATAGGCACATTAATTCTCTTGGTAAGAATCTTGCCCTTGTTTGTTTACAGTGATGCCAACATTGTGCTAGGTAACACTGTAGACTCTTCCAGTTTTGCCATGGTAACATTTGTGGGGCATTCCTTATGGAACAGTGCCCATTCGCTTGATATCTACAATATCACTTTCTTCTTGATTTGCATGTATGTGGCCAAAGGAACAACTCCGTGTTTTCTAAAAGGCCTAGAGAACATATAGCAAGTACCCCTCCTCCTTCCCTTTGTGTTGGTCATTTTGGTGAATTATTGGAAGATGGTGGTTCCAGCCAAAAGGCCAGATGGTAGTTATTCTACTATGACCTTGTAGTACTTGGTTGGTGTACACTTTCATTACAGTATTTTTAGTGCGTTATTTGTTACCCTCTTCTCTCAGTATAACCTCTTCATGAAAAGTAATATTCTTTATCATCATCTTTGTAACCCTGATCTTAGCTCAGTGATTGGCACATAAATACTCAGTAAAATGAATGAAATGCTTATAAAAGTAAAATGGGATGAGTGTGTTGGTAGGAGACAGGAAAGAGAACTGGACATTATAGAGGGCTTTGTATGCCTAGATATGGATTTTCAGTTCCCTACCCTTCTCTCCTAGGATATATAGGTTAGTCTTTATGTTAGTGTCCTTCTCTTTTGTCTGTCTTTGGGCTTACAGGGACCACCTGTCTCATGCTGCACTCTCAAATTCCCTTTTTCTTGTTTCTCAAAATGGAGGTGTTAATGTGTAAATTTGAATGAAGGATAATTCTGACCTTTCTGGTAGATGTTTACATTTTTAAAAGGCATTTATTAATCTAAGGAAGTCTCTTAACTGATAGAATGTCTAAGGCAGATATTTCTTAGCTGAATTCCTTATTATTGCCTCTTCACCTTGCCCTGCCTGAATAAATTGCCCCTAACTTTAGCAGTATATAGTGAAGAATTCTTATACGTTATTTATTGAATAGGAAAATTATATGACGAAAACGTTAGAAAAACAAAATCACTGGAAGACAAAATGGGATGGAATTGAGGAAGTGGTAGGAGTTGGAGGCTTGGGACTTAGAGGGATGTCAGGTGAAGGTTTTTTTTAGTATTTCAGATGAGTTTTGAGGGACTAGTGCATTGGCAATAACGTTGGGGAAAAAAAGAACAAAATTGTTTATTAGATTTGTTCTTTTTCCTACCTTTTTTTTGGTAGAGGAATAATCACATGTTATATGTGTGTATATGAAGTTGTGTAGCAGAGTTTCACATGTAGATGCTCAACATGTTGGTTAAGTTTGGGAGGAAAATGTATATAATAAATTAGTGTGATACATTCTGGTTTTAACTTACAGTCCTTTTGGCATCCCTAATTGTATTTCATCTTTATGTTGCTTTGTCTTCTTACGTTATTTGTCATTAGGAGTAAAGGATCTGCAATTTAGATGTTCCCAAATGGAAATTTTTTTTACCGTGTACCTTTTCTTTGAGTTTTGATAGGAGCTATAGGAGTTCCTTGGGACTCTAAAATTGGTGTTAACCAACTTTATACTTTGTTAATAATATTGATCTAATTTTATGTCAACATCCACAAAACTTATTCCCTTTATTTTCTTCAAAAGCCTAGCTTTTGTCTTCACTTTTTGCAATATCATGTAATTAGTCAGTTAAAATTGTTGGTGGGCTTCCTAAATTGGTTCAGTTCTTACACTTCTAGAATTCTAGAAGTTAGAAGAAACTAAATAGAACTTTACAATTCCTTTTCAATATGAACTAAACAGTTATGGGCCAAAATGCAGCAGTATTTAAATCAACACATATGAGGTTTCTCTTGTCCATATGCCACATGCTCAAATATTTGGCACTGTGGCATTAATCATAATAGTAGAATGATGTATTGCAGCCAAACAAGTTTCCACTTTAGTCAGAAGAGTTTTCTTGGACAAAATATCCAGGAAATGCTTGTGAATCATCGTGTGAGTCAATTTTTCTACTTTAGACTTTCTGTCTGTTGCTTTTTTTTTCCTTTCCTCACTTCTTTGGGGAGTGTGTGTCTATGTGTTTCTTTTTTTCCCTATTTAATGATTTGATTATAAAATCATCATTAGTTAAAAGAGCATGTAAAGCAGATTTCAGATGTTTCTTGTTTTTTTTTAACAAGTGAATGGTCTTAAAAATTAATTTCTAGAAATATTATGACCTAAAATATAAAATCTGTAACTTGAGGTTTTTATGCTAGCTTGTCCAGCTACTAAATATATATGAGGATAAACCGTGAACAGACTGTTCCATATTTATTCAAAATTGTTAAATAGTGAAATAGATGGGGAAAGTTGTGTATGCAGCATGATTATAAATATAAGATCTCCTTGCATAAAGATTTGAAGGAATGTTGAAATAGTTGGTAATAGATTGTGATCGAAGTTTTTGGTTTAATTTTCTTTTACAGATTAAGCATTATCTTATAGTCATTGTACTAGTATGATTGCTGTTACTATTCTATTATGATTAATGACATAGTGCTGAATGTGCATAGTGCATATGGATGTAATGTAATTCTAATGATTGAATCTTAGAAGGAAAAAATGTATATTGATATGATTTTGGCTTT